CACACTCTGTTGGGTCACCCTTCTTTGGGATGGGAACAAATATAGATCTCTTCCAGTCAGTTGGCCAACTGGTTGTTCTCCAGATTTCTTGGCACAACTTGGTGAGCACATCCAGGGCAGCATCTATTAGCTGAAACATGTCAGTTGGTACACCATTGATAAATAGTGAATCCAAAACCTGCCCTGTTCTGTGCTGTTCCCATCGTCTCTGACACACTCGAGCCCTGTGTTACAGTCACACTGGAACCCACTGCCACAATCACTTTGTCAGTCCATGTCGTTGAGTGTCTTACTCTCCTTCACTGACTCGCACCTTCCCTAGTATGATGTTGTCATCTTTAGGTGCCATTGGGGCAAGTATGACTCGTAGCAACCCGATGACCAACAGACCTGAACCCCCCGTCCTGTCCTGTGCCATCCTCATCATCACTGACACCCTACAAGACATAGTTCCCCAGTGATTTCTACCCTTTCTCTTTTTCACTCCCCTCTTCTCTTGGACATTGATGCAGATCTTACTAGTTAGCATTCTATTTTTACAGTAATGGCCGCATGCTGTGTCTTTATGAAATTGTCACTAGGGCAGCATTTAGTGGGCAGATAGGGAGGTAAAGTAATAGGAAAGGTGCAATGGGGGACTTGAAAAGATAAGATGGTAATAGGCATAGGTCAGTTGTAATTAATTATATAAAATACAGTGTATGTGGATGATTGTATGAAACAAAATAAATGAGATTGTATAAAACACAATGGACATGAATGAAACACAATGTCTGTGAATTATTGTATGTAAGTTAATTTTAAAAAAGAATCATTTCCTTGCCTCATAGCTTCTGCCTTGTGAGAAAGAGCAGTATGTCTTCAGTGTTGGGACTAGTGCTGGATCCAGAGTTAGAGGGCCGGGCAGCCCCATATCAGGAAGGTACCACTGCTCCATGACACATGTGGGAAAAGGCTGGTCTTGTGTTGCCAAGTTGATATCTTAAGAATTCTTAAGTCTAGATTTGTGTGCAACATCTTTCTGTTAAAACAAAGCAGAACAAAACATAACAAACAAATGAACACCAACACTGTCCAGACCAAATTCATTTGTAGCCTGGCTATCCCAGAAGTGGACAGTTTTCCATATGTGACTGAGTCAGAGGCACCATGTGCCATGTCAGTTCTCCAGGGCTCCACCCACATCTCCACCAGCCTCTCTGTCTCCCAAGCAGAAGGTTCCTTAGAAACCTCTTCTGAGACAGCAAAGACAGCAGACAGACTGGCAGACTGACTGACAACCCTGCCATCTGTCCTGGAGGGCTTCACTTTGCTCTTGGTCCTCACAAGGGCTCTTCTTCTAGGGGTGGATTCAGGAGAGCCTCTGGGCGCCCCTTCAAGTGAGAGAACAGAATGGAGACACCAGCTATTAATCTGAACATTGCACTCATGTCCTTTTAGAAGGTTGAGTGGACACTTGCAATTAATCAGCCTTCTCTTTAAGGGTTGTTGTTGTTGTTAGGTACATAACAACCCTGTAAACAAAAGATCTGAACCCTGTCCTATCCTGTGCCATCCTCACACTTCCTGACACACTAGAGCCCATTGCAGCAGTGACGTGTCAATCCACCTAGTTGAGGGTCTTCCTCTCCTTCACTGACCCTTTGCCTGTCTGAGCATCATGTCCCTCTCCAAGAAATAGCCCCTGCTAGCAAAATGCCCGAAGTATGTCAGGCAAAGCTTTATCCATCTTTGCCTCCAAGGAGCACTGATTGCACTTTCTCCAAGACATAGTTGTTTGTTCTTTTGGTAGTTCAGTGCTCTTCTCCAACACCACAGCTCAAAGGCATCATTTCTTCTCTGTCATCCTTGTATGTCCAGCTCTCAGATGCATAGCAAGTGATTGGAAAGACCATGGGCTGAATCAGATGCACCTTAGTCCTCAAACTGATACTGTTACTCCTCAATAATTTGGAGAGGTTCCTAACTGCAGACTCTCCTAGTGCACTGTTTCCTGATTCCCTGACTGCTGGTACTGAGGATGTTGATTGTGGATCCAAGTAAGATGAGGTTTTTGACACTTTTCGTCTTCATCTCTCATGATGTTGCCTATGGGTCCAGTTGTCAGAATTTTTGTTTTCTTGACATTGAGATGCAGCCTATATTACAAGGATGCGTTCTTTTATTTTTCTTTTAAATAAAATTTTATTTTATACTGGTATTCTTTGATTTTCTGCAACAAGTGCTTCAGGTCCTCCTTACTTTCCGCAAGCAAGGTTGTGCCATCTGTATGATGTTGGTTATTGATAAGTGTCTCTCTGATAATTTCTTTGAAATATTTTTATTTTATTTTGTTCCTCTGAACTTGATATCACATTCTTCTTCATAGAGTTCAGCTTCTCGAACTGTTTTCCCAGCCTGCAGCTTGAATAGGTATGGGGAGAGAATCCAGCGCTGACATACTCTCTTAATTTTAAAACCATGTAGTCTTTCCTTGCTGTGTTGACACAGGTAGTATTATCATGACTCTTTCCTTCGGGAGAATCACCAGTGCTTTCCCCAGAACACATTGCTTAGGAAAGGGACTTAATCACTCATAAACTCTTTGAACAGAGACCAGTATTTCCCTTGCTGTACAGAATGAAGGTGCTGCCCTTGTCTCCCTTGCCTTGTTTGTCCTGTAGTATTCCTATGTAGTATGCCCTTCTCCCTATGGAAACATATTAGCTGAGTCATTGGTTAGTGGTGTTTAGAGTCAACTGCATGAGCACAGTTAAGATGATTAACTTAGAGAATGACCATGACCTAGGAAAGCATTACATCTTTCCACAGAGACTGAAGGTGGCTTTGGCTGCCACCAGGAGGTCGACATTTAAGATCCCCTTGATTTATTTTAGAGCAGGTGTTGGAAACCTTTGTCTAGGGTCACCTGTGCCACCATGTTGATGGGGCTCTGGGCTGCAGTTTGCTTTGGGTGTCTTTCCACAGGCCTTCCTGTCCCATTGCCCCTCCACCTCTCCCTCCCAGTCTCTTAGTGTCCTTGCTCTGCTCTTTAAGAAATGGTTACTCCGGTTTGGTAGATTACTGTAGACTTGTTAATGATACCGATGGTAATGAAAAGGTTGGAGGTTCATGTCCACCCCTTGCCCCCGTGGAAGAAAGGCCTGGTGATCTGCTTAGGTCACAGCCATGGAAGCTTGTGGAGCAGTTTTGCTCTGCACAACTCAACAGCGGCTTGTTTTTGTTTTGTTCTTGAAACTTTTTCTATCTCTTCTCCCTCTCTAAAAGTTAAAAAGCTAAACACAAAACAAACCAGTGTTGTGAACATGGTCTAAATTACATGGGAAACCATCTGTCTAAACTTGGACTTCATTTATTATTATACACTTATGGGAAGCTGCTTACATTCTGCAGGAATTGCTGGCTGGCTTCAGGCCCCTCTCACTGGTGGAGTTTGTGGCCCAAACCTGCGAGGCCCATTCCCCTGTGTCCTCCCTCCTGGCCACAGTGCCTTTGCCACCCCCATCTCCTTTTCTTTATCACAGTAATAGGTATATCTGACTTTAAAAATGCCTTTTAAAAATGTGTTCCTGGGGAAATTTCCAGTCTATGAAAGCAACCACCATGTACTCAGTCAGCACCCAGCCTTAGCAGACCTGCCCATCTTATTCAGACGTCTTTAGATCTGTCGTCAGGGAGCTGTGGTCCGTAGCAAGTTGAACTGCTAACTCAGAGGCCATGGCTCTCTGGCAGTTCGAATTCAACAGATTCCTCGGGAGAAACATGGGCAGTCCCTTGTCATGTGGTTTACAGCCTTGAAAACCCAGGGAGGATCGGCTATGAGTCTTTCCACTCTGACAGCAATGAAAGAGAACCATTATCATGATGCTGCTGCTGTTACGTGCCCTCAAGCTGGAAGCAACTCATAACCGACCCCAGTGGGTTTTCAGAGGCTGTAAATCATGCAGGAGGAGACTGCCCATCTTTTCCTCATGGAGCAGGGAGTTCTAATGGCCTCATCCTAAGGAGTTACACTGCAAACTCAAAGGTGTGCAGTTCTAATCCACCAATGGGAGAAAGAGGAGTACTCTTCCATGCAATTTACAGCCTCTAAAAACCTAGTGGAGAGATAGATTCTGGTTTGAAGGTACATAAGAACCACTCCCATGGAGCAACTGGTGAATTTAAACTGCTTGGATTAGCATGGCAACTCTTTACCTACTAGACTTACCTGGAAATGTGCTCAAAATGAATATTCCTGCCCTCTGTCTCAAACCAGCTGATTCCGAAATCTCTCACTGCCAGGTCCAACTATCCCTGTGTCTGATACACCCTAAAGTCCTGATGCACACTGAAGCTTGAAAACGGCTGCTATCGATGAACATGGGGGGCGTGTACTTCTGGTCCTTTATGCTGAAGGGACAGAGCGACAGGCCCTGAGCCTGCAGCCTGGATTACATGGCCAGTTACATACACACACGGCCAGTTTAACCCTTTCTGCTTCTGAGAACATGACTATGCCTAAGAGAACCAAATAGGACTCTGAACCTCGATCATCAGAAACTCAAAACACATTGAATCGGAACCAACTCACAGCCGGCCTTCCAGTGGGTTTTTAGGAGGCTATAATTGCAGAAGAGGAGATTGCCCGTCATTTTCCTCTGGAGCTACTGGTGGATTCAGACTTACAGAGAGATGCCACCTTTGGGTTGTCAGCATAATTCCTTACAGACAAGGCCACCAGAAAGGAAGGCACCATATCATCTATATTCATTTGAGTTTTGAGCCGCTCATAAAACCTGGGCTTAAACACAACAATTTAATTCAGAGTTATTTGAAATAAGACTGTCAGAAGGCATTCCAGGGTCTGAGGTTCATGCAGGGTGTGGGGCTTGGTCTTTAAAGAGAGATCTAGATAAGTAAACCTGAGGATATACTGTTTTGCCCTCCAGCATCCCCCTCCAATGCATGAGACTAATGGGTTCGCATGAGCATTGGTTTTTGTTTTTTTCTTTTTTCAGATTTGGAAGGAAGATTGCTGAAGAAATAGAAGAGTATGTTTCCAGTATTCTTATGGGATCCTCTGCTGTTACAGTCAATGTCGTATGAATCTGGAACTGAGATTGGGCCTCCTGAATCAAGGGTTTAGCCCATTATTTCTCAGCTAGCAGTCTCGGCTCTGGCATCGATGCCCATGCCTTGGGGTGTTATGTGGAGAGGGATTTTGATAGAGGGAATAGGAGCAAATTATTACATTTTATGGACTTGATTTCCCAAACTACTTTTTGGAAATATGTCCAGATACGAAAATCCTGAGCAGTGTGCTTTGCTTTATTGAAATAGGAGAGACAAAACAACTCAAGCTTTCTCGGGCTAACCATCTCCTAGGGCTTAAATCAAACAGAAGGGGAATGTCAAGACAGGGAAATGCAACTGCAGAACGCTGATGGGCAGGGCATGCGCATCATAGTCAGTGTGGTGCTCCATTCCAGATTTGTGCGTTACACGGCTTATACAGCTGTACATAGTGGATCTATTTGACTTAATAACTTAATTTGACCAAATTGCTCAAGAAATCGGGCCTGGAGATATTTTTATCTAGGAGAAAGAATGACTTTGACTCTTCAGTTCTCTTTTCTAAATTCCATTTCTTCTCTCTGGGAACAGTCACCGTCTCAAACAGCACAGCCTGGATGGAGGAGATGATGGAGGAGGTAAGATCCCCTTGGAGGATGTCACAGGGGCTTCCAGAGGAATCCCAGAACCCCAGTTCTAAGTGCTAAGGCATTGTTGTTGCACAGCACAAAACAACCACCTTGGTAAGAAATGTTGGCTGTGACCCGGACCCAGCATGCTGTTCCAGTCTCCCATGTTTTGCTCAGAGTTCCTGCATCTCTGGAATATCTCAGCCTTTATCCAGATAAACCTGCTCATGCTTCACAGGCCAGTGAAGCCCCACCTCTTCTGTCATGTCTTCTTCTCCCATCCTCCTCACTGGCTGACTTTGGTGTCCTTCCCCGCGAGCCTACAACCTCCTGAGCACAGATCCATCACAGGAACAATAATTACCATTTACGGAGAGTGTATTACATGCCTAAAATATAGTCATAGAATCATAGTCATAGGATCTCAGCAATCCTATGAGATGTTGTTGTTATTGTTGTTGTTATGTGCCGTCGAGTCGTTTGCGACTCATAGCGACCCTATGCACAACAGCCCTAAACCCTGCGCTATCCTGCACCAACTGCACTGCCTCTTACACACCCATCCCGATTACCCCAGTCACCAAATCAATCCATCTCATAGAGGGTCTTCCCCTCCTGCGC